AAATTTTATATCCGCAATACTCACAGTACCAAGGTCTTTTCATATGTGTAGTAGGATCTTCTCCAATGTATAAGGCCACTAAAAGAAGCAACATTTGTAACTATATATATTTGTGACTTACATATAGCTCGTCTTCCAAACTTTGATCTGTTCGTGAGTTCTCCCTTTCTGCAGGAACCATGGAAGGAAGAAAATTTGTGTTAATTGTATTGCGAAATAAAATAGTACATTTTGGATTTTTGCTCATATTTTTAGCAGAAAATAAACATGGTGGGAATGAGGCATTAGATATATTAATCAATGGAGTATTAGTGAAAGAAAAAGGACCAATTATAGGAGATATCATTGGGTTAGAAATATGTGATTTAATAGAATCTCCTAATGGCGTTGCAGTTACAATACGATATTGCTTGAGACTTGTTGTCGATGTAGACATTTCTTGACCGTTATATAAACTTGGGTAATATATGTTGTTGAGCATAGGTTGATCATCATCACTGCTACTATTACTTGATAAACTTCTAGCTCTTTTCATAATAGACATAATGGAGAAAAAACCCTGTTAAAATAATACTAACGTGTAGTAGAAAATATAAAAGTAATAGAAATGGATTTAAAACATATAATAAATGATTCATAAAACATTTTAATTTTTGAAGAATTTTTGGTGTTTTCTATGAAAATATATGTGACTTTATATAATATGTAATTATAAAGAATATGAAATTAAAATAATTCTGAGGATTATAGTGAATTTTTGAAATTTGTTAATTTATATGTATTTTTCATTGAATTTTATATCAAATTTTTGCGGAGATTGATATGAATAATTGTTAAAACATGCAATAATTTGTAAAATTTGCGATTTATTGATATTTTGTTTAAAAAAGTAAATCGTGATTACCATTAGACATTATTACATAATCAACTCAATTATAATAAGTATCTATATATAGAAAATAAAATGTACAATAATTAGTAAAGATAATATTGTGCAGTTTTTTTATGTGATTTTCCGTTCACATGTGATTCAACTTGCCACAGAGCATTCATTATTGTATCTGATAAAAAGAAAAATATTTAATATATCAAATAATAATGACTTACGACAAATATTGCATGTGTATCCATTATCATTTATTGTGAACATTCTTTGAATGCTAGATGGTGCTTTTTCTAAATACCAACCATATCCTTCCCTGAAAGTGAAAATTGTATATTATGTTAAAATTAACAAAATATATATAATAAATGAAGCACTATGTTGAATTCTTAACAACATACATATTCAATTCGGTATTCATATCTTAGCAACATTTATATTCTCAGACTTAAATTTATATATATTTAGTAATATACATATAGTGACTTACCCCTGTTTCTCCTCTGTATTTTCTTGTTTAATATTGTTATCAAACGGCAAAATTCGTATAGATGGACTGAGAAAAAAAAATACCAAATATAAGTATATTGTTGACTTACTTTTCAGTTGAAATGTCAAGTTGATTTAACTTTTCGATATGTATTTGATTTTATAGATGTTGTTGTAATTGTTGAAGAGTAACGAATACTCTTTTGCAGACTTCACAGTAGAATCTGAATAATAAACGTAGGTTAGTGTTTTACTATGTTTTTACTGTTGTTTTTAGTGGATTAATACAGGAAGATTACGTTTAAGTACCCCGGAGGGACTCATACATTGGAAAAGGAATAAAGTAAGGTATAAGTCTAATCATTCTATGTTTTTATGTAAGTTTTAGGGCAAGCTGTGTCGTTTGATTTTGGACACGGCCAAGGAGTTGAACGATGTTAAACGTTAACGTTGACTTGAACTAATAACAGTTATTAATAGTATTCATTACATAATAAGACTTACGAGTAGTTTTGCTGGTAGACTTTTACTGGAAGAGTATTTAGTAGAGGTTAGTAAATGGTGTTTTGAAATTAGATTATGTATCTTTTAGGGTGTTCGTAATGGCACAGTCGATGTTAATTTACAGGTACGCAATGATAATGATATCGTAGTTTTTGAAAAGTAAGTTTAATCTTTGCATTAATACTTTATGTTTTATTTGTATATATCTTAGATTTGTAAATAGTGTCGATAATCATACCGATAATGTGGCTGATGATATTCGAGGTAATGTTATACTTGTTCGTTCGTTATCGTGCTTTGAGTTGTGGTATGAATGTTCGTTCTTTGTGTGTGTTTAGGTTTATTATTTCTGTTATTGTGTTTCAGATTATAAAAATGATGATGATGAACATGACGATGATAATAATAAATGTGATGATGATAATGATAAACGTAATAATGATCAAAAAAATGATTGTTTTCTTTATATAATACGTAACTTCAAATAATTTGTTTTGTTGTGGTTGTTCGTTCGTTGTTTTGTTTTGACTTATGGTAGAAATATTTGTTTTCGTGTGTGTTTAGGTTTGTTATTTGTGTTATTGTCTTGTAGATCATAAGATCGATGATGATGACCATGATGATGATAATGATAAACGTGATGATAAACGTAA